AAGTTTTAGATTAAGGGTTGTATAAGGTAGCCGAAAAGAAGAACTACAATGGATACCAATTATAGGTAAAAGCGCGTCCGCAAACTGGGTAACGTTCTAAGTTGTCAGGCTGTGGTGTTGAGGTTCGGGCTCGAGGGCTTTGATATCGTCTTCAAGCCTTACCCAGAATCCCCTGTGAAACCAAGTGTAAATGTCCTGTTTCAAATTCCAGTTTGTGGCGCTGCACTTTACAGCGTTTGCAGGGCTATCGTGTGAAGGGTTTGGTTTTGGGTTTAGGTGTCAGGGTTTGGGCTTAGGGCTGAGAGGGTTAGATATAGGGTTTTCGGTCGAGGGGCTTGAGAAGAACGACGGAACCTTCAATGTTCAGTGGCTAAGTATTCCGGTGTAGCAACTAAACTCACAACCGTAATTCCGAAACCCTAACCACAAACCAAGCCCCCCACCGTAAATCTGCATCCCTAAACCACACACGTCCGATCCGAAATCCTGAGCCACTCTGAACCCTCGACTCCTGGCCTATGAGCCCTATAGGGTTTAGGGCTGAGGGATTTAGTGCTTAGTAGTTTAGGGTCCTATAGGGTTTAGGGGCTTAGGGTTTAGGGTTGGTTCCGAGTCAAGTGGATGGTATGGAAATCCAGATCCACGAACTGATCAGCAACATATCCACAGAGCGTTGTTGTCGAGGACATCATGAATTATATCAGTGGGAATTCACTGACTATGGGTCATTGCTTCAGTTCTTGTAATCAAATCGCCGTCTGCGCCGTGACTCCCAGAGGACATACGAATGACCGTATAAACCCCGCGAGAACCCTCATCCGACTAAAGCCTTAAGCCCTAATCCGACTAGAGCCATCACGCCCGAGGCTCTGAAGCCCTACCCAAAGGCTCCATGTACCCATATAGCAGATACTTAGGCCTTAAAGTGCCTGTACAGGGACCCCGTTAAGGCCTAAGTATCCACTCTAAAGGTACATGGAGCCTTTGGGCTACAGACTCATACATCATTAGACTCAGATCACTGCAATTGCGCCCTGCCCCACTGCCATATCTTGTATAAACCCTGTACTTCGGTTGATGGTATAAATCCTGCACTTCCTCCTTAAGGACCCTAAACTATGGGAATTGCGGTGTATGCCTTATTATGGGTAATGCAGGATCTCTATCATCAACAGTTGTAGAAGAAACTCCTGCAGAAGCCTATATAACTGGTTGAATAAAACCGATACACCGTAAACCTGACGCTAACACAAACCTGAGAACCAGTGAACCCCACAAAACGCCACAAAAAAAAATGCCGGAGGCTCGCCAGCATTTCTTGGCTTCTAAAAACACCAGACAATCTTCAACGTGTACCCAATAATTACGGCCTCTTATAGACCCCCTCTGTACCCCTATAAAGGGAACTCCAGAAAGTTGGAATATGGTCTCAGGGTGGGATACCTTACAATTTACCACAAAGGGCTTAGGGTAATCATATTCCAACTTTCTGGCTTTTACCTTAAAGCACAGTGCTCTGGCTATTGAACTTGGAGGTGCATTGGCAGCTCTTGCACGGAGGCCGGGCGACGCCAAGGCCCTTGGTTGCGCGCTCGGCGTACATCACGCTGCAGGAGGACGGCAGGCTTCCCTTCTTGAAAGCTCCTTTCCCTGGGGATCTAAGGACTCATGTATTAAGGCCTGTGGGCCCAAAGACCATAATATGTAAGGCTTTTGCGCTATTTTGATCCCCAGGATTTTTATGGTTGTTGGTAGGCTTTGGGCGTTTCCCCGGGGGTCCATATCTTATGTGGCAGTATTCACGGGTCCCCCCCCCCCGTCCTCACTCCCCGCCGTAACACCCCCTCCCACAGGAGCGACACACATGGGGTGTGAAAGGTTTCAAGGGCGTGCCAGGGCTGGCACAGATTCGATACAAATTGCGGGATGCGACACATTTCGGGTTCCTTTGGAGGGCTTGACTGGGGATGTGTAAGATTTCTCAAAGGTTCTTGTGGAAGGCTCTATGACCCTATGAGGGTTCTATCATCAGGGTTCTTGACGGCTTCCAGGCGAGTTGCAAGTTTCACGCCGTTATGTTTTTTTTTTTTTTTCGGGCTTCGAGGGTCTAGGAGTCTAGTCTTTCAGGTCTGCTGTCTTCCAGGATTTTGGGCTCGAAGCCCTAACACCAACCCTTTAAAGGAGACCTTAAGGCCTTAAGGGAAGGTACTATGGGGGCCTTAATGGAATAGGGTTGGGGGCGGGGGTGTATGATTATACCAGAATATAACTGCAATAAGGAACCCCCCAGAATACTATGGCATTATAGGTACTTCTTCAGGCCCCTACGACTTCGAAAGCCTGGCTTGGAGGAGACGCTGTCCAACCTGAGACCAGACGACGTGGCTGAGGAGTTCTTTAGACATTGGTCGCTGGACTCGCTGCTGGTGGTCTGGCGGCATGGAGAACGGACGCTGCTTTAAGTAGCCCTGACACCCCATAAAACTGTCGACGGATTCTATCAATGGATTGCACCCTATGACACTACCATTCAAGTTCCGCAAATATACAAATTCAAGGTTCCATAACCCTAAATCCCTACAGATCCCTTATACAACCCATGAAAGAGCCCCTTAAAGAACCTTTTAAGGAGCCCTCAGTAGTGGGTACTTGAACCCTTTTTTGGGGACCCCACCTTCAACTCGGAACTTATCTGTAGAGGTTCCCGGTCCACTGAAACTCACACCTTCGTGCATGCAAGGGGGTTGGGTTCGGGGTTTAGGTTCTAGGGTACCCATAGGCCCCATAGTAGTTGTTTTGGGAGTTCATACTTAATCCTATACGGTAATCCCAAAACTTTAGGGATCTAAGGACTCATATTTTAAGGCTTTTGGGCCCAAAGACCATACTATATAAGGCTTCTGGGCTATGTTGATCCCTAGGGAAAAGGAACTAATTATGGGGCCTATGGGTAACTTATGATTCCTTGCTCGAAGTTTGGGTCCCTTCTGTTGTCCCCCAACATAGCACGGCACCCTTATGACAAGGACCCTCAAAGGGACCCGAATTTGGAGAGCCACCCTTATGATGCCCTTGAGCCACTTTCAGAAAGCTCCTAAGGCCCAAAAAAGGAACTTCACTAGAGCCCTGAACCCTACAACTTAAGCCTGCGCCCTAAACCTTCAACCCGAAACCTTGAGCCTTAAACCCTAAAGGAGCCTCCCAAAAAAAACCTTAAACTGCCAAGCCTAAACCCTTAAACCCTGAAGCCACAAACCCTAAAGCCTTCAGTATCCCCACTGGAGGTTCATGTGTAGTTATAAGTGGGGTTATAAGTCCCCTAAGAAGGGTTATAAGTATAGTTACCTTACTTATAGCGCCAGTTATAACTACCCATGAACCTCCAAGTAGACCTAAACCCTATACCCTTATGGAATCCCTATAGATCCCTTTAAAGGGACCCTTAAAGTAACCCTTATAACTACCCATGAACCTCCAAGCACCAATAAGCAGTTCAGGTCCGGGCCCTGGCCCGGAGCGGTGCCTCCCACCTTTTCCCCTGGAAAAGCGAGGGAAATCGACAACTCTCCTTCGGGATGATACTTGGGAGCACGAACATGGATTAGGGTTTTCTGGGATTTTGTAGGGTTTAGGTGATACTGGGGAGCACGAGTATGTTTGAGGCTGTAGGGAATTTGCGGTAGAGTGAGGGTTTGAGGCTTGCTGAAAGATTGTCATGGGGTATTCAGGAGGCGGAAGCAGACTAGGTTTCATTTCTACATGCCATTATTTAGAAGAGAGTTGTTTGGGGCTCCAGGTAGGGTGTATAGGGCTTCTGTCAGGTATAGGTTCAGGGTTGGAGAGATGGCAGGGCACAGGAGTACTATAGTGGCCTAATTAAATAGTCAACATTTTTTTTTCTGTGGGTTCCTTTTGACAATGATAGTATAATTGGCCCCAAAATTAAAGCCCCAAAATTGGCTGTAAGTGTAGGGCTTCAGCACTCCAGACTCTGAGCCTTCATGGGCAATTATCCGGCTGTGTTCAGTCGTGGAACCTGGGGGAGGGACCTTGGAAAAGAAGTTTGACACGCAAGTATATAGTGTACAGCAAGAAGTACATGATATAGAGTATACAGAGTGAAGAGGCTCTAGCATCTAGCATCATAGTATAGAGGATTCATAGTATGTATCGCACGAAAGTATACAGTATGCAAGTATATATAGTACACACCCTAACCCCGGACCCAAATATCCGAGAGCTCAGGAAGATGAACATCCCATGGCATCATGTGCAAAGAGTCGAAAGCTGGTCATCACACTCCAAGATGCCCGAGCAACTTGGCTTTGGGTTTAGGGTTTAGGGGTTTTCAGCTTAGGGGTTTAGGGGTTTAGAGTAGGGGTTTAGCGTTTAGGAGTTTAGGATTTCTAGGGCGGTGGGCAGGGCCTTGCAAATTCCGTTTAGACCCATGAAGGAAGTGCAAGGCCCTTGAAAGAACATCGTGCGGAAACCCAGCCCAAGGCCACCTTGCTCTGCCTGCTTTGGTTCCTCCGCCAGCTGTGTAGGCTCCGATTCCTGCGTAGTCGTAGCATACTTCGGCATTCATCCCCGCTGCCTCTCCAAGTCCTTCGTGAAGGAGCCTGCTGGCCGGGAAGCAGGGTCGCTAGGGTGGGGTTTTCGGAGGGTGGGTTTTGGGTCTTAGTGTTCAGGATTTGCGGTTCACGGCTTTGAGTTTGGGGATCCGGGTTTGTCAATGTTTGTCATGTTGAAGGTGTCATTTGGGTCCTCGGACGGTGCTGCAGGCGTGTCGATGTCCCAGCTTCCGCTTACACACTCTCCGCTCTTGTGTTGCATGGGTGTAGGGTTAGGGTGTACCTTAAGCCTTAACTCTGAATAGCCTACTTTTTTAGGGTTTCTTATTATGATTTCCTGAAAAAAGTCCTTAAAAATGTAGGTTATTCCGGGTTAAGGTAGGGTTTAGGGTTGCGTGAGCCGCCGCCAGGACGAGAGCAGCCTCATCCATGCAGCAGGCAGCGAATCCTTGCGATGTGTCACATGGCTGCAGGGGTTTACAGTAGAAGCCAGAAAGTTGGAATATGATTATCCTAAACCCTTTATGGTAAATTATAGGGTATCCTACCATGAAACCATATTCCAACTTTCTGGAGTTCCCTTTACAGTCCTGATGTGTCCGCATTATATTTCTGGTAGAACCAAAGCCCAGAAATCTATTCTTATCCGACGATCAAGGGCCTTTTGCTAGGGACATGTGTGCTTAACGAGAGTGAGGCCACCCCGGCAAGTCAGCAGCATGGATGAGTCCCAAACGTCATTGAGGAGCAAGGGCAAAGTGAAGGCCGACAAAAACCAAAGAGCAGCTTTACAGAGCCTAGACGGCGCAGACGTGTTGCAGTTGCTCCTGCAGCAAGTCTTTGAGCGTGCTTCTTTGGATGGGGTGCTTAGCGAGTCTTTCTACCTGCAGCAGCAGATCCACTGGGAGATCGAGAAGTGCTCCAGTCCCCGGCTTCCATCACCCAAGACAATGAGGACCATGAGGAATTTGCAAAAACTCCTCTCGCGCATGAGCTGGAAGCAAATGATTCAGTTTATCGGGCATAACCCTGTTTGGAGTGACCACAGCTTCCTTGATCACGTGCACACACAGATGGCCTCCTGTAGGGCAGGCAATACGTGTGACCTTAATGGTGTGAGGCTTGGCAAGTCCGTGTGGCTGTAGTTTGCGTAGTCGCTGTCGCCCTTTCGGACGCTAAGCCTGAAACTCTTTATTTTCTGAAACACCCACGGGTGTGGATTGCTGCACGTTGCCCGTTCGGCAACGTGCGCCTGTGCACGCATGGTTTCGAGACTCGGCTGTGACTCGCGGATACGCACCTTCTCCTGCTTAGGTTCTCAAAAGGCATCCAGATAGTTTGGGAATACATATATATATATATATATATATATATGTTATCATTACATATATGTACAGTCATACATACTATAGGGTGATCCGTATTACGGTTTGAGGTGTATAGTATTCCTTAATTCAGGATTGTTGGGGACTCTGGGCTAGGCTTCATGTCGTTTGAGGGGTCACCAAAGCATTTAAAGGCTACCGCACCCGAGTCTCCGAACCGTGCTTCGCCGGTCAGTGTATTTAAAGTCTACCTCACCTTTATGACCTTTTATTGCCCAGATCTTCCGAAGTCCGTCAATTCAGAATATACCTCAGTTGGCTCATATCAGGCATCCTACTGCAATTTACGGCATATTCCTTCGTTCATGTATATCGCGAGACCTGGGAAGGACGAAATGAACCCTCAAAGGTTTTCAGGCTCAGTTACCATACAGGGGTTCATACTGTTCAGGGCATAAGGCCACTACTATCACTTGTCGTTTCGTCATTGTGGTAGCCGCACCCCTTGCATGATTGACTCAGAAGTGCCTTCGAACGCGTGAAACAAGTCAGCCAGCATGCAGCTCTCGTCGATCCTGCAACAGCTCCTACAACCTAAACCCTACAACGCTAAAGATGTTCAGGTTCCACGGCTTAGGGTTCAGGGGTTTGGGTGTAGGGGTTTAGGGCACAGGGGGTTTAGGGCTCAGGTTTGAAAGGTTCTATATGTGCTGGCTCCATGATGGTTTTGTGCCGATTTTTGTTTGGTGTTTCAGTTCAGGGCTTGCGGTTTAAGGTCTAGGGAGTCACATCTCTGCAGGTAGAAACCTCACGCTCTTGTTTGGAAGCTCGTTTGCCAAGCTGAGTTTCCCAAGCCAGGCTCTCGTGATTCAGGGGTACTGGGGGGCTTAAATGATCTTAAATGTAGACGCCTGATCAATACCCTCTCTCTTAAATGCCCATCTTGCTACAGATCTTGGCCCTAAGCCCTCTAACACCCGAAACCGTAGATTTTAATGCAGCATTATACTCGAGATGCAACCATCAAGGCTCCTAACGGGGCAGACTACTCGTTAGACGTTGTTGCAGCTCGTAGACTCCACTAACCTTATCATTAGGGTTTTCTTCTTCGGGATTGGCTCGAGTCTGTCGACGCGCCTTGCATTCTCTCATGCAAACAGCATGGCATCGGTGACTGAACTGCGTAGCTCCTGGATGACGCTGTCTTCAGCAATCATCAGCTTATCAGAGCTCTGTACTGCAGTTAGTCCCTCTGCCGAAAAAGGCGACACCCATGTGGTCGCGGAGCAAAATTGGATCCACTCGGCGGCAAATTTGCACGCCGGGGACATCGAATCCCTAGGGAGCGAAATCACCTGGGACCGGGTCGCCTCAACCTCATCGCTATCAGTAACCTGCCACCACCGCTTGAAAAGCGATGGTAGATCCGCCACTTCGTGGACCGTTGTTAACATCTGCATCAGGGAACCTGCGGCGAATGAGGGAGTCGAGGTATTGGCCTGCTCTGGCGCAGGGCGGAGCGTTGCCCAGAATGGGCGAGGACCATGAAAGGGCTGTACTGGGCATTGTTTGGTACCCAGCTCCTCGTCCGGCTGGGGATCGAGGTCTGCGCCGACATATGTAGCAATGCAACACCGCGCTCGACGCAAGTGTTCACGCAATCGAGATGTCGACCAGAATTCCTGGGAACAGGCCTGGCAGGATGTCCCGATAGCACTACGACAGGGCGCACGCTGTCCGTGGACCTTTTCGCAGTGGGCTGCCAGGGCCGACGGCGTAGAGCAGAGCTGCCCACACTGAGCGCATCGGTGCGTCGCTGCTCCTGTAAGGAGCTTGACGATGAGCATGCCCTGTGCCTCTGCTTTATGAAGAGCCTTTGCCCGAGTCGCTATCAAAGGCTCGAGATGGGCTCTAGATTGAACTGCTTTGGTGCGGACCCGTTTCAGAAAACTGCGGGTGCCTGCTGCATCCAGGGGCCAGGACAGAAGATCGCGGCCCTGCGGGGTCTGCTGCAACCACGTTGACACACGCGCATTGGGCACCAGCTGCACTGCCCAGTGAACAGCTAGTTGGGCTTGGTGCAGCCAGGATTGTGACGCTGCCAAAAGTTCACCCAGGAATGCTGTCCCATGCGCAGCGATCTGCGAAAGGATGCGAATGCGGCCCACATGCATTGCCTCTTCCGGCAGCAAGGCTCCAATCGCTATGCAGACATGTTGGTCCGTCATGCGCCAGCAGTGGTAGCCATGCAGGGGCTTGACAGCCCTGCGCAAGAAACCGAGGTAGGCTGCACGGTAGCATTCTCGCTCTTTGCGTGTAGACATGGGCCAAGTGGCTAGTCCATGCAAGAAGCGGTTCAGCACCAGCGAGAAGTAGTAGTGGCATTTCTCCGCCCTGGTGAGCACGGGGTTGCGCAAAAGCCGAGTGCATACTTTGGTACAGACGACATTAGCTGCCGCTTGCCGGCGCTGTATGTCGGGGACCGCTGAGCACTCAGGGGTGCGTTTTGTGCCAAGGTGGACATAATGCTCGGTACATACAAGCTGAGCCTGTGAGCTATTGGGCATGTCAACAGGTATCGTACCTTGTCCCGCAACAAACAATTCGGTACGAACCTTCTGCGCGCCGTTGCCTTGCACAATGACAATTGCCTCGGATTTGCCAGGCGCAAAATTCATGGCGATGCCAGAGGTGCTAAGGGCCTGGGCAGTGATACTGGCAGTACGCGACAGACGGTGTGGCAGGTCGCTCGGTTTGCAGGCCCCAACTAGGACTGCAAAATCGTCCAACCACGTGAGGAGGACTGCCTCCGTGCCCTGGACAGTGACCAGCAGACCTTCCGCACGGAGGCAGTCGCGCATACACTGGTAACTGGCCGCGATTGCAAGCTGAAAGAGTAGGTCCGCCAAAGGAGCCCCTGGCACAGTGCCCGCCCGCGTGCGGTGGACTTGTGGGTCGTCCGGCAGCGTGGTGAACCACGTGCATTCAAAGTTGGCCTGGACCAACTTTTGAATGATCTGGTCGAGCTCAGCCCTATCGAGTGCCGTCCTGTCCAGGGTGATCTCTCGGTAGGCTTGCTTGATGCTGTCCTCGATCGGCAAACCTTGGACCCATTGGATGCGGTCCGCCTCACTGCCTTGGCAAAGGATGTGGCGATTTGTGGAGTAAAAAGCACTAACTCCATCCACATACAGGAGGGCTCCGGTTTGGGCGCTGCTTTTCAAGAAGTCCAGGTAGGCCTGCCCTGTCATCGCAGGAACCTCCATCGGCACTGCTCTGCGCGCCCCTGCAGTGCCTGGCTGCACAATATTTTCTAAACCTTGCAGTAGGCTGTGTCGCATGGCTTTACCTGTGGCTTTCGCAGCCGCTTCTAATAAGGCGATGGCTCTGTATCCCGCTGGCGTGAGGGGGCACTTCATTGGTTTCGCCAAGGGGACAGACAGAGAGCCTGACCATAAGAGTGGGGACTGGCCTCTCGCAGCCATCTTCAACACTAAGGGATAGTGCGTGGCTGCAGCGAGGCTGGGCGAGGCCCGATAGAAATCGCCTGGCAAGCCCGAGAGGCCTGGTGCCTTCCTTGGTTTGAGGGAGGCAAATCCATGCGCCAGGTCTCCGACTGAAGGCATGGAGCTGGCTTCAAAGTGGCTTCCATCTCGGCCCTCCGACTGATCGCGGAGACTTGCAAAAGGGAGAGAGTCAGCCATCTCCGCCTTGGCGAAGTGCTGCCCCATCCGACGGAGGACCTCAGCCCTATCAGTGATGAGCTCGTCTTCCTGTCGGAGTGTGATGGCCAACCTGGGAGCCTGGTATCGGCGGCCTGTTTTCAAGACGGCCCTGATCAGATGCGCCATGCGCACGGGCCCTTCTTGGTGGGCCTCTTGGAACGCATGTCGGGTATACTGCGCCTCATCCTGCCTGATGCTATGCTTAGCCAGCTTGCTGAGCCTGCGAATGGTCAGGCAGTAGCATGTATCCTTGGCCATACGGTGCATCATCTCTTGGCGAAAGGCTTTGGCATGGGCCCGAGTTTTGACGGGATTGCCCTGGTCACGCCAGGCCCGGAAGGCCGATCGCAGCAAGGAGTACTGCTGCGACGCCGTCCGCCCTTGGTGGGCTCTCCGTATTTGCCTCTTGCATTGTAGCAACTGCCAAGTGGTATCGGAGACGACCGGATTGCGCGGCTTATTTTGAGATGTCTTGAAGCGCTTGCCAAGCTCACGCTGAAAATAGGCATTGAGAGTGGCAAGGTGCTCATCGACGCCGACTTCCCAGCTAGGCTGCGGCGCCCCACGGAAAATCTCTTGGATGCACTGCTTGCCTTCTGCGGTGTGCATGGCATGCACATCAAAACGCTGAGTTTTGTGGACAGTATGCTCTTCGAAGCACAACTTCATGTGTATCAGCAAGGGCTGGTGGTCGATGCCCGCATGCTCGTCGAGGATGTCGACTGTACCCAGATTGCTGACAGAGGGCTGCCAGCTGCGCGGAAACATGACAAAATCCAAACAAGCTGGCTTACCATTGGGGGATCGCCAGGTGGTGACGGGCCTCCCTTGATAATCCACAGTGCCGGAGGATGCCAAGTCATGATGCTGGAGGAACTCCTCCATATGGTATGCATTGCAGTTGCAGGCCGTGGTGCCCTGCCACCGGGCATTGGTATCGGCACAGACAACAGGGATGTGCCCCCTTGGCAGGGCTCTGAGCACGCTGTGCATCAATTGCCACCACTCATGGATTTCTTCCTGTGTTGAGACCGACGTGCGTGCATGTCCGGAGATCAGAGCAACCCGCTCTCCGGCATATACGGCTGTAACGGC